CCCCCCCCCCCCCACCAAAGGTGGGTGCAGCCTCGCCTCCTGCCCGTGGCCGTGTGGTCTGCAGCACCCAGCTGGGCATTGTGCAATCGGGCAGAGCACGGCAGGGGTCAAGCCAGAGTGTACAGACTTCTCTCCTGTCCCATTTTACAGATGAAGAAACAGGCTTGGAGAGTCACAGAGTGAGCCAGGAGAGCACCCGGGCCCTCCTGACTTCGTCCAGTCTTGCCAAGGAGCCCCATTTTCTGGAAATGCCAATCTCTGGAGCCAGCCCAGTCCTCCAATGCCCATTCTGGACTCATTGCCTGGAAATCCCACTGTCCCCCTCACCCCCGCCCCTCTGAATCCTGCCAAAAATGGCAACGTACGTGACAGATAAAAATAGTTCAGGTATTCTTGACCCAACAAACTCCTCTCTGAGAATGTGCCCACTGAAACACCAAAGACTCCAAAGTGTGATTATTGGAGCACTTTCTGTAATAGACCGGAGTATTACACTTGTCTGTCCAAGTACAGTCCAAAGGACATCACTAGCTAAAAGGACACCACTAGCAAGTTGAATCATAAGGGTGATATTTAGAGCATCTACTGGCTGAAGGCATGGCTCCAGGAGCCTCGTGGCTGCTGACGCTTTAGCTCTCTCAAAGCCATACGGTGGGAAGCAACAGAACTGCTCTTTTACAAAGACACTGAGGCCCCAGCGGATCACACAGTGAGAAGCTCAGGGTGAAGGCCATGCCCGGGCAGCCTGGCTCAGCCTCCTGTCCACCCAGGCCCCGCAGCCACCCCACGGGCACTGTGTTCATGCAGGAGAAGGAAGTGAGTCCCCAGGTGCCACGGTGGCAAGGCGTCCCAGATGTATTGATAAGGAAAGGAAGCAAATCGCAAAACGATAGTAAAAAAGAACTTGTATTTGCCTGCATCCTGCTGGGAGGCGGGACCCGCGCCTGGGTGGCGGGGCTTTCACTTCTGTGCCGGCTGCATCTCTTTGGTCTGGATTTTTTGTTAATAACTTGTAGTCATTCCTTTTGCTATGAAGTGTAAGAATGCGTTTTAGGATGTGTCAAGCTCCTTCATGGCACCTCGGCCAGCAAACAGCCCCGCCATGCCCAGGGGGGGTCTCGCTCCCCCCGAGCCCTTTGCATTGGCTGTTTGTGCCATGTCTGTCTCCCCCTAGAGGGTGGCTCGGAACTCCTCGCTCGGGCTTTGTAGGGCCGCACGTGGTGGGGCTCTGCCATTGGTGGAGGAGGCCTACAGCCGACCTTGCTGCCAGTAATAGTTAACCCTTGGCACTGGGAGGCGTGGCCCCAGCAGCTGCCCATGGGCTCTGTCTCCTGCCATCCATGCAAGACCCAGAGAGGTCACACCACTGTCCGAGTTCACACAGCTGGGAGAGGTGGAGCCAGGAGCCAAGTCTAGGCTGAGGTCTCCCCCAAACCATGTGGGGTTCCCCTGAGCCAAAACCCCTGCCCACCCTGCCACCAGACGGTCTCTTTGCCAACTCCTGTGTCAGGGGTGAGCACATGACCCTGCCCTGGGTTCATCCATCTGTCCATCCACTATCCATCCATCCAACCATCCCTCATCTATCTACCCATCCACCCACCTTTCCATCTCTCTGTCTGTCCTTCCATCTATCAGTCCTTCTCTTCTTCCGTCTATCCATCCATCCATCTCTCCATCTATCCACCCATCCATCTCTCCATCTATCCACCCATCCATTCACTGACTCATTTTTTTCACGCGTTTACTCATCCAGTCTCCCCAGGGTGCTCACCCTGGGCTGGGCACTGTGGGCTCAGGGACAAATCCAGTACGACCCTGCCTGCCAGAAGCTCACAGCTGGCTGGGGAAACGTTTAGACCTGCACAAAGCAGCCTAGACAGTGAGGTGGCGTGTTTTCGGTTTCTGCTGTGGAGGAGGCTAAAGTTTGGGCATGTTTGTTCAGGAGACAAAGGGCAGGTGAAACTTGGCTGCAGTGACCAAGAAAACACGCCTGTCTCAAATGCCACCTCTTGGGTTGCCCTTTCTAACACTGTCCCCGCCCCCCCCCCCAACACCCCCTGTCCCCTCCCTACTCTGACTCTCACTGGCACTTACTGCCCTCTGGCAGAATCTTTATTTTGGTCATTTATTGTGTTGGTTTTCTGTCTCCTCCCCTAACACGCCTGTCTCAAATGCCACCTCTTGGGTTGCCCTTTCTAACCCTGTCCCCGCCCCCCCCCCCAACACCCCCTGTCCCCTCCCTACTCTGACTCTCACTGGCACTTACTGCCCTCTGGCAGAATCTTTATTTTGGTCATTTATTGTGTTGGTTTTCTGTCTCCTCCCCTGGCACGTAATAGCCAGGAAAAGACCTTTGCCTGTGTTTATTGCAGTGGCCCAGTGCCTAGAATGTGGCATGTAGTAGGCATGCAGTGTTTGTTGCCCAGGTCGGGGGCATGGGCGGGGTGGGCTGTTGTCCAGGGGTGGAGACCATGCAGCTGGGGGCTGTGCACATGGGTAGCGGGAGTGGATCCGAACGTGAACTTCAGAGGGCTGACCTCAGGACTGGGTGCCTCACAGGATGTGGGGTGCAGGGGGAAGGGTGGCCAGGGCAATTCCTGGGCTCTGGCTCAGGTGCCTGGGGCTGGGTGGCACTTACTACATTAGACACTGCAGGAAACATGAGACTAGACAGTTCCCTGTTCTTTCAGTTAGACAACATGCCTCAAGCTCCCTCATCATCCAAGGTACCAGCCTCTCAAGTGTAACATCTGCAGTTGAACCCATGTCCCAAATGGATTTGCCCTGCTCAGAACTGTCCTGTCGTCACCTCCCTCCTTCTAGAACCTACGCTCCTACTAATGCAGCCTTAGCGTTTGGCTGGCCACTCCCACAGGGACACACGCGGGGTTTGCCCTGAGTGCTCAAAGACGAGAGGCAGGTACTGTCCTCATTTCATGGATGCAGAAACGGAGGTTCAGAGAGGTCAAGGGCTTGCCCAAGGTCTCAGAGCTGGGATTTGAAGGCAGACAGCCTGGCTCCTAACCAGATGCTAGCCTGCACCTCTCTAAAGGCCAGGATGGATATCAGGACTGGCCTTGGAAAGGCTGCCTTTTGCCCTTTGTCCTCTGTCGTGGCAGCGGCCACTGCCAACCTGTGTCCCCCCCTTGCTCCACAAACAGCTGGGCAGGTGGAGGCAGGGCTCCCCCTCTGTCAGCACCAGTCAGTTCAAGGCCAGCCTGCAGGTCCTTCTGTCAGAGGACAGGAAATGGGCGGACACATGGCCCCTGACCCAGGGCCGCCTGGACAGGGCTGCCCAGACACTGCCATGTCAACACCTCTCCCCACCGGGTGTGACCCTGGGCAAGTGCACAGCCTCCCTGAGCCTCAGTGACCTCGAAGGGCTGTGTGAGGTCACATGGGGGTGTGTTGAGCACACCACTGTGTTGATAGCCATGAGCGCAGGGCTCACGGGCATCAGGGCCTGGCCCTCGGCATCAGAGAGGGGCTGGTTGTGCAAGTATCCAGCGATCAACTCTGGCCCCGCTGCTTGCATGGCCCTGGACGAGTCCCTTTTCCGGGCCTCAGTGGCTACATCTGTAAAATGGGACCATCATCCTTGCCTCCCTCCCGGGGCTGTGACGAGGACCCCCTGAGCTGGTGAAGGAGGAGTGCTTGGTTAACTAAAGCGGGGTGCAACTGCTGGGGGGGATTGCATCACCGTTCTTTACAGTGGTTTCCAGTGCCCGGCAGACAGAAGTGGCCTCTTATTGGAGTGCCCCAGTTTGGTTAGAGGCCAAATCAGCAGCCCCTGCTCCTGTCCTTTTGTTCAGTGAGCCCTGCTCAGAGCTGGGTCCATGTTGGGCGCTGGGGACTCAGAACGGAGGCAGACCTGGCTGGGGCCCTGGGTGCAGGGAGAGAGGTATGGAAGCAGCAGGGGGAGTGTGGGCCCAGGGTGGTGTGAAGGGCGGGTCTTATTTGCCTCAGTGCAGCCTCAACTCAGATAGTGTTTGTTGAATGAATCAGCAAGGGAGCTTTGAGGGTTCCCTGGGCAGGAGCAATTCCAGGGGAGTCGAGGAGGCCCCAGGACACGGATAAAGTCTGAGCTTGGGCTGGGAGGGATGGGGGCATCACAGCCTCCCCAGGAGCTGTCTGGACGTGGCCTGGGGCCAGGCCTGCAGGCGGTGCAGACAGTGATCCTGCTTCCTGAGCTTACGCCTCCCGTGGTCTCTCACACACTTCCCGACACCTGGGTCCTCAGCACACTGGAACAAGGGTCCTTTGGGGTAGTGGGGAGGGAGTCCAGGTGGGCACTGACCCACCTGCTGCCCAGCACGGCCTCTGCCTTCGGGGCCACTGGTCAGCAGGCTCCGCCCCCCACCGCAGGTATAAGGTCTGAGAGGAGCCAGCGGGGAGCTGTTGAGGCCACCCTGGTGGTGGCACCGGACCTCTCTCAGGCACGCTGACCACAGGGCCTTCCCCACCAGCCACGCTGTCCATGGAGTTTGCTGCTGGAGCCATCGGAGGTAACAGTGGGGACAGAGGGGTCTCAGGGGGGGACCGCTGCTCTTGGGGCCAGCAGGAGGGGCTGGAGGGGGTGCTCTGTCCGGGCAGCAGTGGGGTTTGAAGCCCCCTGGAAGTGGCCGGCACCTGGTGTGGGCCACAGGTGCTGGGAGGAGGGAGCAGTTTTCCCGGAGGCTCGGGGCAGGTGACACAGGGCCCAGGAGGAGCTTTTGGGGGCCCGGCGGGGGGGAGTCTGCACTGGCCTGGGGGGCTCAGCCTGGGAGGCTGAGGGGCTGCTGGGTGGGAGCAGAGGGTGGTCTCTGCGTGGCCAGGGGGAGCCTGGGAGCTGTAAGCATGGAGCGGGATGGTAGAGTCATGGGAGGGGAGGGGAGGCTCCAGGAGAGGGTGGACAGTCAGGACAGACGGGGCCTGGGGCCTGCCACACTGACTGCAAGGGTGGGCGTGGAAAGGGAGGGTCCCAGCCGAGCCCGGCACCCCCGTCCGCTGGCTGTGTGCACACACAGGGCCAATCCTGGCCTTGCTGACCCCCCGGACCGTTTTCACTTTTGGGGAAAGGGCTATTGTGAAAGCCCGATCCAGAGATAGCCGACCCACGGGGAACGGGCTCCTACCAGCATCGATCACACACACAGAGGCTATTTTGGGTGAGGCACCCTTGGCCTTGCTCCTGTTGTGAAACAGCAGCGGCTGCCCGTCAATACTTCTGGGAATGGTGTGGGGTGTTCTCTTCAGAAGGGGAGGGCGGTGCCGAGCCAGGAAAGACCAGGGCCCTGGCCTCATCAGTGGGTTTCCTGAGGTCCCGCTGTGGGCCGGGCCTGAGGCCAGCTGCTTGCCTGGACATTAGCTCCCTAAGGAGGAGGCTCAGAGAAGGGGCTTGACTTGCCCAAGATCACACGGCAGGAAGGGCTCCCGAGTCCTGCATCTTTTCTCCAGAGCCCAGGGAAGGCCTAGGTGGCAAGGGCTCCTGCTCTGTGCCTGGCTCAGGGTCATGGGGATCAGACCTGGGCCTTTTCCTTGAGGAACTCTAGTTCTGGAGTCAGAGATGGCAGGTGGTGGGACAGCAGCAAAGCCATATGACATGGGCTGTGACTAACATGTTTTCTGGCACAGAGGCAGCCCAGAGTATAGGGGTCAGGGAAGGCTCCTGAGAGGAGGTGATGCTATGGCAGGGCTTTGATGGATGAGTAGGAGTTTGGTGAGGTATATGTAAGGGTCAAGGAGGGGTAATTCTACCCAAGTCAGTCAGTCAGTCTTTTGCTTCACTCTCTTTGTTCCTTCACTCATTCATTCATTCACTTTATTTTATTTTTAAAATTTATTTTATTTATTTTTGGCTGCTTTGGGTCTTTGTTGCCACACACGGGCTTTCTCTAGTTGCGGCGAGCGGGGGCTGCTCTTCGTTGTGGTGCGCGGGCTTCTCATTGCAGTGGCTTCTCTTGTTGCAGAGCAAGTGCTCTAGGCCCACGGGCTTCAGTAGCTGTGGCATGTGGGCTCAGTAGTTGTGGCTTGCAGGCTCTAGAGCACAGGCTCAGTAGTTGTGGCACGTGGCCTCATTAGTTGTGGCTTGCAGGCTCTAGAGCGCAGTCTCAGTAGTTGTGGCACACGGGCTTAGTTGCTCCGCGGCATGTGGGATCTTCCCGGACCAGGGCTCGAACCCGTGTCCCCTGCGTTGGCAGGTGGGTTCTTAACCACTGTGCCACCAGGGAAGTCCCCATTCACTTTATTCTTTCATTCATGCATATTTAGCGAGTCCTGGGATACACAGTAAATAGGGCACAGCCCCCACATGCCTTACTGTCCTCAGATGGTCCTCACCCCACCCCCCACCCCCCAGGGATGAAATACCAGGGACCTGCCCACTAGCTCTCTGTCTTTCTCATGGCAGTGCTGGGGGCTTGGACGTTGAGACCCTGGTGTCAGGACAGGAGAAAGAGAGGCGGGTGGCACCTGGCCCTCTTTGCAGGAGGCAGAGGGCCCTGGTCCAGGAAGCCTTGAGTCCTACTCTGTCCCATGCAAACTTGTGCTTCCAGGCAGTCCCTCACAGAGGCCTGGGGTGACCCGGGCTTTCCCAGCCCCCAGCCTCTGCTTGGGCTGTGTCCCCCCGCCATCACCCCCAGAGCTGTGAGGTGCAGCTGCCTCCTGGCTTGCAGACAAACCCTTCACAGACTGAGGCTTGAGGGCGAGCTCGGCCTGGCTTGGAGACAGGGCCCAGCAAATTTTGGACCAAGTCTCCCAAAACACGACCCTAGAGGGGAGGCCAAGGAGTGTCCCTGGCTTTCAGAATGAGGCTCCAGTGGGCCAAGACTCGGGAAGGCGGAAACACTAGCAGCCTGGCAGACAACGCTTTACCTCTCTGAGCCTGTTTCCTCATCTGTAAAATGGGGGTCACGCTCCCTCACTGATGAGACACGGTGTGGAAGAGAAGAGCCAGGTGTGGCCTTTCTCAGCAGGAGCACCGTCAGGGTTCACCCGCCCCCTCTCCCTGGGACGGCTCAGGCTCCCGCTTCTCTCACCGGTTCCTCTGGTTTCCTTCCAGGCGTCTGCGGTGTTGCTGTGGGCTACCCCCTGGACACGGTGAAGGTGCGGTCATCACCAGGCCCCTGCTACCCACCCCAAGGCCCCTGCCTGGGCTTAAGCCCCCCATTCATGGCCAGAAGACCTTTCTAGCCTGCTATTCAGAGCCAGTCGCCGCATGCTCCTCGGGGCTGTAGTGCCCCTTTCTCCCCCCGTGCCTCAAATTTCTCCTCTTAAATGGGGCTCACTGTCCCTTGCTCTGCCCACAGTCAGCAAGGCTGCGACAATCAGGTGTTGGCTCTTCCCCTCCCCCAGGGCCTGCCGACCTTGCCCCTGGCCTGGAGCCACCCCTTCCTGAAGCCCACTTCTCCCACAGGTCAGGATCCAGACAGATCCCAAGTACACGGGCATCTGGCACTGCATCCGGGACACGTATCGCCGAGAGCGGGTAGGCCTGGGGAGAGGGTCACGGCAGCGGGAGGCTGGGGCCTCGGACGCCAGGGCTGCCACTCACCAACCAGCCTGGCAATACTGAGCTTCTCCCTGAGCCTCAGTTCTCTCACCTTCCAAACGGGAAAAGGTGTACCAACCTCCTGGATTCCTCCGAGAACAAGAGCCGGGGCGTCTGGCACACAGGAGTGCTCAGAACGAGGTCCTGCCTCCAGAAGAGGGTCTAGAGGGGACATCTGGGGACTAGGAAGGTCTGGGGAGGAACCTGTTTGCATTTCTGTCCCCTCCAGCCTGGGCACCCCTTGAAAGAATGCTGGGTGGAGTCATCAGGGGTCCCAGGGTCCAGCTTGGAGCCCCGTCCAGAGGAGGGTCTCAGGGACACTTACCAAAGTGAACTTGCGAATCAGTGCCGACCAGGGGTGAGCAAAAGAGAAACAGCAACGGCCAAGCTGCTAGTTCAACGTCATCGTCATCAAACAGCTGCCCTAGGTCAGGCCTGGCCCCCAGCCCTTCAATCCCTCAGCACAACCTCACGTGTCGGGGGTTACAACCCCCATTTTACAGCCGAGGAAACTGAGGCCTGAGGCAGTCTGCGTGACTTGCCTGAGGGAGGACGGGGCAGGGGCTCAGGACCCCCTCGGGCAGCCACTCCTCCCAGCTGGGCCTCTGGCCTGACTCCAGCCCTCGGGTCCCCTCCACCTGCCGCCAGGTGTGGGGCTTCTACAGAGGCCTCTCGCTGCCCGTGTGCACCGTGTCCCTGGTCTCGTCCGTGTCTTTCGGCACCTATCGCCACTGCCTCGCACACGTCTGCCGGTTCCGGTATGGCAGTGCCGACGCCAAGCCCGCCAAGACGGACATCACGCTCTCCGGATTCGCCTCCGGCCTCGTCCGCGTGAGTGGGGCGGGGTGACGGGGTCCCGGGACCGCAGGGGTCGGGAGAGGCTGGATGGAGCCTGGGGGACTGTGGCTGAGGACACAGCTGACTTGGTAACTGAGGGCAGGCTAGGGAGCCTCTCTGAGCTTCTGTCTCTTCATCTGTAAGAGGCGTGGTGAGGTCACGCATGTGAAGCCCCCAGCAGGGGGTCTGACAGGTATGAGCAACCACGACATGCAGCCAATGTTATTAGTAAAATTATCCTATGTTATCTATTAACTTTATCAATGCTTACATTAAGTGTTACGTTATTCTTACACTAAATACTTACATTAATTAAATAATACATTAATATGTCATTAACAGATTAATGATGAGATTAAGCGCTTTCGTGAACTGGAGTCACATTTACCCGACACCTACTGTGTGTCAGGCCGCTCTGCCAGCAGAAAGTGTGTACCTAAAGGCAGCACTCACTGGCTCCGGCTGGGTGGGCCAGCCGGCTTTGAATCCCGCTCCACCATGGCCCGTGGGCCAGCCCGGAGCTCCCTGGGGCCAGGCTCCCTGGCGGTCACCACGGGCCACAGGGGCGGAGGGAGGCCAGGGGCAGGGAGTGCGGGCAGCGGGCAGTGCTGCATCCTCATCCCTGTCGGCCCCACCCCTGCTCCAGGTGTTCCTGACCTCGCCCACCGAGGTGGCCAAGGTCCGCCTGCAGACGCAGACGCAGACGCAGACGCAGCAGCGGCGCCCCTCGGCCTCTGGGACCTCGGCTGCGCCCCCCACGTGCCCCGCACCCGCTGTGGGTCGGGCGCCAGGGCCCAAGTACCGCGGGCCGCTGCACTGCCTGGTCTCGGTGGCCCGGGAGGAGGGGCTGCGCGGCCTCTACAAGGGCAGCTCGGCCCTGCTCTTCCGGGACGGTCACTCCTTTGCCACCTACTTCCTCTCGTACGCCGTCCTCTGTGAGCAGCTGACTCCCGCTGGCCGCAGCCGGCCAGGTGAGCAGGGGCCGGGGCCTGGGGCGGTGCTGGTGCTGAGGCTCGGCCTGGCGGGAGTTGACGTGGGGGGAGGAGACGGGCTGAGGTCACACTGGCACCCAGTGCCTCCCAGGTGGGAAGCTCATTGCCCTCAACATGAGAGTCAGGACAGGCCTGCTCTGGGTGGCCCTGGACAGGTCATGTCGGTGGCGAGAGCACAGGGCTCCCTCACGGCCAGGCCCCGCCCTGGGTGCCCACTAGCTCTCCTCGGGGGCCCCAGTGCGGCTTCCAACCAACGTGCCCGTGGGGCCCTCCCCGCAGACATCTTGGGCGTGCTGGTGGCCGGTGGCTGTGCAGGGGTGCTGGCCTGGGCCGTGGCCACCCCCATGGATGTGATCAAGTCGCGCCTGCAGGCGGATGGGCAGGGCCAGCGCCGCTACCGGGGCCTCCTGCACTGCGTGGTGACCAGCGTTCGGGAGGAGGGGCCGAGGGTGCTCTTCAAGGGGCTGTCGCTCAACTGCTGTCGTGCCTTCCCCGTCAACATGGTGGTCTTTGTCACCTACGAGGCCGTGCTGAGACTCATGCAGGGCCTGCTCTCGTAGCTGGCGCCCATCTCCTGGGGCCAACCCGCCAGCAGCTTCCAGAGGCCGCAGGGGCTGGAGGGGGTGGAGGGGAGTGTTGGGGTCTGGGCCCCAGGGGGCCATCCCCCCGACTGACCACGAGGAGGTCAAGGGGCCCAGGGCTGGCCTGAGGGTCACAGGAGCCAGGGAGAAGCGGGCCTCTGGGATGAGGATGCGGCCGCCCGGAGCCGTCTTTGCGTGTGGTCAGTGGCTCGTCCCGGCTCCCCTCCCACCTCGTCCTGCCGCCCCCCTCGGCTCCCCATCCTTCTCTCCCCGCTGGGCTCTCCGTGCTGTGCAGCGTGCTCTTCACTCCTGGTCCTCAGATGCAGCCAACTGGTCTCCCCACCAGCCGGAACCCGGGTGCTGCCGCCTGGCGCCTGGCACCCGGCGCGCTTGGTCCCCACACCAGGATGCTCAGGGAGGTGTCGCCCGAGCCCGGTCACCCGCCTCGCTCCGCCTGCGGACCCGAGGCTCAGCGGCGAGCTGTTGCCAATAAAACGTTTCTCGGGCAGTTCGGTGGTGTTGCTCCGTGGTCTATGGGGCTGGTGACTGGGTCCCCATCTCCAGCTTGTCCTCACAGGCCAAGCCCTCCCCCCATCTCCAGCTTATCCTCAGAGGCCAAGCCCTCCCCCCATCTCCAGCTTATCCTCAGAGGCCAAGCCCTCCCCCCATCTCCAGCTTATCCTCAGAGGCCAAGCCCTCCCCCCATCTCCAGCTTATCCTCAGAGGCCAAGCCCTCCAAACCTGTGTGACCAGGGCTCCGACTGCACTGACGGCACGCTGAGGCCCCGCCAGCTCTCCGGCTGGCCCCGCTCCCTCGGCCTTTGGGGCCGGGGGCCACGCCTGTGCGCTGAACCTGCCCCAGGGGGCCGTCCAGCGTTCAGCATGATGCAGGCTCTCCTCACCACCCCCATCCCAAACCCACCCCCTTTCATTGTGAAACTGATCTCCAGCCAGTTCCAGACACCAGGATGTAAGCTGCCTTTCCGTGGGGCCTGGAGGAGGGAGGCTCCGTGTGTCCTCAACACCGCTGGGTCCATACACAGGTTATCACAATGGCTCAGAAAGGACTGGCCTACCCAAGGCCACCCAGCAGGGAGAAGGGGGGTCTCACACCTGCACTTCTGAGGCCCCAGCCCTCTCTCTGGCATCACGTGGCTTCCAGTGACGGTCCAACACGAACCTTCTGGGTGCCCACCACAGCAGCCCTCTGGTAAAGCCAGACAGCACCTGCCTCGACGCCCACTCAGACACTAGCCTTGACCGTGACTTTGGACTGAAGTCCAGTGTTCACTGGTCCACCTCCAGTGTTCTGGCTGAACAAAACTCTTTCCTGTTCCCAGGACACGCGGGTGGACCCTCCCCTCCGGCCTCTCCTGTCGTACGGACCCAAGCATTTGCTTACACCCTGTGCTCTCTGCCAGGGACGCCCTTCCCTCCTCTCTGCCTGGCTAACTCCAGGCATCACTAATCCCAGACGTCACTTCCCCCAGGAAGCTCAGCTGCTTTTAGGTGTCTCCTGCTCTGCTCCACGGGGCCTGGTTTGTGGTCTGGTCACTTACCCACCTCCTGCACAACCCCCCCACCCCGCCCCCGCA